TTCAAAATTTTGGTAGGGACATGTCCCTATGGTCCCTATGCAAACCTACGCCCATGTATGGCATGATGGTTATTTACTGTGTAATAAATGAGGACAATAGATAGTAGAGAAACAGTTAGGCATAGATGTGCCACACACACACACACACACACACACACACACACACACACACACACGACAGCCAAAAAAAAAAAGATTGGGCCTAAAACAAGACTAAAGCCAACTAATTGGATTTTACCCATTATCTTTTTGCTTTATTTGTTTTTTATTTCTGTGTTGATTGTTTTCTTTAAAGTGTGAGACCATTCTTTTATTTTCTGATTCTCATCCCTTTGCTGGAGTCGGCTGGAGCAGATGATGAGGAGGTCCTCATCCTATGGGTACAGTCACCTGGAGACATACTGGCTGATTGAAACCAAATGTATGGCAGGCCATTTTGACATTTATTAGCTTAGCTGAATATGTAATTCAGATGTCTCAAATGCATTTCTTCTTAGTCAAAATGAACATTTCAGATATCTAAAATAGCATTCTTCCTAACTAAGAAAAACTCTATTATGGATATCTGAAATTAGGGTTCATCCTTGTCAGAATTCATTTCTAGATAGGAAGAATGTTATTTTAGATATCCAGAAGTAAAAGCCCAATGGGAAACATGATATTATTAGTACTAGAAAGAATTACATTTAAGTTATCTGAAATTTATATACAGCTGCTGAGTAATATGGTGCCGCTAGACCAATGAGCCAGACTGTGCCAGCTGAGTGGGATAGGGTTTGTTTAATACTTAAAGGGTAAGCGGTGATCATTGTAGACCGGGTACAAGCTGAACAGCTGGTCAGTCCACCAGAATCGAGTTATACATTTTTGTTAAAAAATGGTGGACTGGGTGGAGCCCGCAGACTAGCTGTGCATCACAGGATATACCACAAGGCCACACCTCTCCTGTTCTTCCATCAGAGTAAGACGTCTGTCCTCTTTCTCTCTCTCTCTTCAGCCTAGTGCCAGGCTCTCCACTGGACCCCAGCAAGAACAGAGAACCTTCTATGAGTTTCGTACCTACAGCATCCGGCCGGACCAGAACGCTGCTTTCCACAAACTGACCAATGAGAAGATCCATCTGCGCACTGCTCACTCTGAGCTGATTGGCTACTGGAGTGTGGAGTACGGCGGCCTCAACCAAGTCTTCCATATATGGAAATATGGTGAGGCGGCGTCCTTCCTGTCTTTGTTCATGTCTGGCTACATTTCTTTATTCCACATTAAAATACATTTCTGAACAAAGCCCTGGATCTAATTAAGAACAGGGTGGCTTGGTCTAACGTGGCATTCCAAGGGTTTGGGTTTATTGTTGGTGAATAACAAAATAAAAGCCTCAGCTTCTCCTCATGGTGGCGGTCTGTATGACTGTATCTCCCCTTCTCTCCCCGCAGACAGTTACGCTCAGCGGGCAGGTGTGCGGGCAGCCCTGGCTCAGGACCCCTCCTGGATCTCAGAGTACATCTCAAAGGCCTTACCCATGTTAACATCACAGGATAACGAGGTGACATACATGGTACCATGGAGCCGTCTAAAGAACCCACCGCAGGAGGGTGGTAAGCTCCTTCACCTTACTAGGGGGGGGTGGTTAACATTATAATGTGAGGCTAATGTCCGGTTCTTGTTTTTTCAACTGGATCCATTTCAGCCGACTGACCCAGTCATTCTAGTTCAGCTTTATTTCCTCGGCTGTTTATTTGGGACTACTGTTCCAAACTCTTTTTATCTTCAAATGTTTATCCAGAATTTCCCGTTCCTTTTCTTAATGCATTCTTCCTTATATAGGTCGCCTGAACCATATGCTGCCAAACACCCCCTCCCACACCGCCACCACCATGCTCCCACCTGCAAACGTCACCTTCATCCTCGCTTTTTCTTCAGCAAATGCTATATCCATGTCTTCATGGAGCTCAGCGAACTCTGCTTGGTTCATGATGTTCCCTAAATCCCTGACAGATTTCACTATTTTTTATTTATTTTTTTTGCTGTCTGTGGTTTTCTATCCTTTCCTTTCCTTTTCTCAATATGTTAAATACTTTTCCTCTACATCGATCCACTGATCTGGAGAGAAATTAATGCCTGTAAAATATGATTGCAGAGGGCATTGTTGATGTTCTCAATACTTCCTGATGTGGGGGGAGGTTATTGATTCTAAGAGCTTTTCTTGCAAGGAATCTTTAGTTCTAATGGGGTTTCAAAAAAAGTAAAAGAAAAACAATCCACCGGACTTTGTGTCCATGTTTGAAGACGTTTTGCTCCCCATCCAGGAAGCTTTTTCTATTCAAAATGTCAGGAATAGTGTTGAGTTTGAGGTTTTATACAGTAGCCCATCAGAGCCTTGTTGGTGTTTAGAAAACATTCAAATTGACACGGACGAACGGGTCCAACCCTTTGGAACGGGGGTCGTTTGGCTTCTTTTGTTCTTTTGGATGACTGAGAATCTTCACCAGCATAACAGGTCATAGTCATTCCAATTAGCCCCATTTCTCTAATGTGGTTCTAACAGGGCTCTTATGTTTCAGGAGTCTATGAGTTGGTGACGTTCCAGATGCGTCCAGGGGGTCCTGCAGTTTGGGGCAGCGCCTTCCAGGCCTCAATGACCTCACATGATGCTCCGGGGTACGGGACGTTGCT